AATGTTTTCTATGTTTGTATTGTTTGTATTGTGTTGTTTATTGTTTAAAAAGAAGACCTATTATTTTAGAAATAAAGATTTACTTATTTGTTAAATTTAAAAGTTTGTAATTCTTTTTGTTGTGTACATTGTTGGACAGACATTAGACCTTCGATCCAAATTGATCGTCTATGACATTCATATTATATATGAATTTTCGTAGGTGACACCCCAAAGTCACAGAACATCACGCCAATACTCAAAGACCTACAATGGCTTCCAGTTTGACAGTGTATCCACTTCAAAATTCTTCTTGTGTACAAACCGCTCCATAACCTATCACCCACGTACATCAACATTGTTTGTTCCTGGGTGCCATTCGAAAACATATGGTGAGAGATCATTTCGTGTTGCGGCTCCAAAAATGTGCAATGCACTACCCGTTAAAGTCTGTGAATCTGCATTAATTGACTTCTTTAACAAGCGACTCAAAACTTTTCTTTTTGACTCTTTATAACTACATTTTTTTTCAAATTCTCTGTTTCACCTCGCTAGCTAGTGTTGTTTGGTCCAGGTTAGGAGGCACCTGATCCCAGAAAAGATCAAGACTTAACCGATGCTAACCAGAGTACATAAACACAGATTTCCGGTTGGCAGTGATGGTGTAACCCCATACTTTGGTTTGGGTGCTAGCTTGGTGTTTATTGATTTGTTTTGTTTTTTTCTGGCTATTTTCTCTGTTTTCTTGACTACAATATTGTCGAGTGCATAGAGACCTCGTTTTTTTTTACTATATAAATCCATCTATTACTATTATTATTATTATTATCTGAGCTGTCGTTCCTCAATCAACTTTGTGACACTTGGCATGCCGGCTAGCTCAAGAACCTTGACGTTTGAGATCCTCTCCTGCCAGCGGATGCCGAGGATGTGACCGAGATGTCGAAGTTGTACTTGGTTCAGCTTTTTGATGTGATGTTGATACAGTGTACAGGTCTCTACTGCATACAAAAGATTGGCGGGAACAACATTTCGTCGAGCGATGGATACTTCTTTATGAGGCGATGGCGTAGACCCGAAAAAAATGCACAAGCCGACTTAACTCGGGCATTGATTTCAGAGTCGATTCTGCCCTCCGCCACTATATAACTCCCAAGTTAAGTAAAATTGTCAACCATAATCAGTGGAGTGTTGTTCATCAGAACTGAAGGTATGTTTTTGAGTGATGCGGAAGGAGTGAAAACAACCTGAGATTTTGAAGCATTTATAAAGAGCCCTAGGGCACTGGCAACACGGCTGAATATATCAAAAATTTTCTGAAAATCATTGTGGTTATGTGCAACAAAGGCGGTGTCATCAGTGTACAACAGCTCGCGAACAAAAACAGTGCGGACTTTGGTTTTGGCCTTTAGTCGAGCCAAGTTGACTTTGCCCGCCTTGGTGCGGATGTAGACCAATTCCGCAAGATGTTGGTTGGTGAGCTCTAAAACTGTAAAAAGTGTGGGTGCCAACGGGCAATTTTGTTTTACACCATGCACAACCCAGAATGCTTCCGATGTCTCGCTGCCAATGCGGACCTGGGCATACATGCTATCATGGAATTGGCGCAGAAGTGATATAAACTTTGACGGGATCCCGTATCTGACTAGGAGAAGCCAAACGCCTTCTCGTGGGGATTTTAGAAATGGAGTGTTAGACAACCGCAACCCTGTGGTTGGGGCTGAGGTTTGAAATGTTATGACTATGACATCTTAAAGTCAGGCTCCGGAGGGAAAACATTTTTTGATATGTTGTAGAACTGATTTTTCTAAGACAGAAAAAAATTGAGATACAGATTTTTTAATATTTAAAAACTGGGGGAAAAAGGGGCGTAACTGCCCATTTTTACACCTTATGCACGACAAGCTCTGTCCGAAAAGGGGGCTTGACCTGTCCGATGGGAAGGGGGACCTAAGCCCCTGCTGGGCCCCCCCCCCATCACAACAATTACAACAGTCTCAAAATAAGAAAAATTCACTTAACTTTATAAAGTGACACATTTTGAGCAACTTATTAAGGAACTTACACTTTCTAACTATTATCACCTTTCTACTGCTGTTTGTCAAGGGCGAGCTTTTGTTGACTACGTAATAATAATAATAATAATAATAATATTAATAATAACTATTATAATAATAATAATAATAATAATAATAATACTAATAATAATAATTATATTTTAACTGAAATTGAAATACAAAAAGAATTTTGAATCAACTAAAATACTCCATCGTTGTTTGGTAGTGTTTAAGTATTGTCATGGGTTGTTGTGTTGC